TCATTCTCTACAATAATTACTCATAATCCTTGACCTCTGGGGGACGCTGAGACCTAGTCCAGGCGGCTCACTCAAAATGATGTTCTTGAGCACACAAAGATGTCTCCTCTGTCACCATACTGAGATCAGCTCCACTGGTACAAAAGCAATGGTGGAAGCAGGCCACAAAGCTGTCCTGGCAAAATGTTTTACAATCTCTTATTAGTAAGCTTGTAAATTTTGTCAATTATTTTACAAAACTATCAGTGTTACTTAGGAATGCCTTAAATGAAGCAGTAAAATCAAAGTTAATTAATTTCATTAAATTTTATGCTGAGCTATACATCTTATTAATATTTACTGTGGCAAAATGGAAAGGTGTATAATGTACTTTTGCTATAAGCTGGCATACACCAACGTCAAAAGAATTATTTGGGCTGGAGAGTGAGCCAGCCACCTTTTCATAGAACACTGTTTTTACCTAAACAACTTGTGTCCACCTCTATGTGCTTCACAGCTTCCCACTTAATAAAAGCTTTTCTGATGAATCACAGTACTAATGAATGTGATTGGCTTAATGCAGCACAATGAAATGCGTCAACAAGTAGAGGATCTGCGTAACTCAGTGAACAAATATTTTCCAAATGCACAGTGCATGATTTTATAAATCTTGCATGGGAAAGAGGTCCATCTCTAGGTAGATGGGTCTAGCCAGGCATGGTGGTGCACACTTGTGATCCCAGCACTGTGGGAGGCTGAGCCAGATGGAATGCAAATTTGAGCCAAACCCAGGCAATGGAGCAAGACCTTGTCCCAAAGTAAAGAAGGAAAAAAACAAAAAAGCAGTGCTGAGCGATTGGCAGGCCTGCCTTTCAGGAGGTTAGGCTGGTGAGGGTCTGGCCGGATAGAAAAGTAACTTTACCAGTGAGACAGGAAAGCAGTGGGCAACATTTATACATTTGAAAGAGATCATTGTTTTACTGTAATATAACAGAGAATCCGGGGGGAGGGGCTCATATTCAAGGGTAAAGTGCGTGTCAGGTGCCCCCTTTGGAGGTCCTAAAACCTCACCAGCTGTGGGAACTAACTAATGTCCGTCTCATTTTCTTTCAGGCCAATGAACTTCCAGCAGAACTAACCAAAAATGAGCGTATATTGCGTCTCCTCCAAAGTAAAGAAGGTCAGAGGAAGAGCTAACTTAGTTCCCTATCTGACAGAAAGACAGAAGAAACCTTATCCACACTGTCAAGAAAGAAACAGCTTTTCAAACAGGGTCAGAAATTCTTTTAAGAACAAATATGTCTAGAAAGGCCACCCTGTGGGTCCCAGTGGTTTGTGCCCCAAGCGAAGAAGAACTTGGGCCCCTCCCTACCTGGCAGTGGGCTCCTCATACTGCCCTGGAACTCAGCTGAGGCCTGGCGCACTGACGGGTCCCGCAGAAGCTCCTTGGCAACCGTGCTGACTTGGGTCTCCGGGTTATGCTTGACGAGGTTTCCATTTCTAAGCAAGGAGACCGAAAGCTTTGTTACTTTGAGAGATGGGAAGACTGACCTCCAACCAATGGATGCGTTTTCACTTACTTGTTAAATGTAGGTGTGTGAAAGTAGAGACCCATCATGTGTTACGTCTATATGTATGTCGTCCCAGTGTAAAATGTTTTCTTGCGCATAAGATCACAACCATGGTTACTGGGAATCAATAAGTTTCAACCCTGCATTATTGGAAAACAACTCGTGACATTCCACCACATGCTATTCAAAAATGGACTAGTGCACAATAGGAAAGGCAAATTCTCTGTTTGCTAATCAACTCTTACGGCATTCCTGACATGTAAAAATCACTTGCACTTGGTGTTGTAGGTGTGCTCACACACCAGTGGCAATCTGGGAAATCCAGAAAATTACAAGCCATGGGATATCCAGCTTGTCTCTTTGAGCATTTCCTTTGCTCCTCTTCCAGGGAATCTGTTTCCCACGCCATGAGTAAGTGGGGCTAATTTCCTGTGTAGTCTTGAACTTCCAACACCGCTTTGCTATATACAGTGGCTTTGAAGTTCTCAGATGAAATGTGCTATACACCAGTCTGATGCTCTGCGATGACTATCGCAGGAGTGTAAGTACTAGAAGATGCCTGTTAGGATTTAATAAGCACTCATCTATGCATGTCCTTGGGTTGCTTGGTTCCAAGAAGGAATTCTGAATTTTACTTCATTATTTTCAAGGGGCTAAACATTATACTCAGTGCACTTTATGATCAATGGTGTCTAACTGCCTCTGCCAGTGCCTAACTGCACTCACAAAAACTAAACTTTGTCCAATAATCTACCACAATAAGCACCGATACTGTTTCTGTTATCTGAATTTTGTTAGTTTTCCTACTCATGTTCTGCACTGGTTTCCAGCCAGTGTTCTGTGGAAAGATGTGTTGAAATGAAAGGAAATGCTGTTATCCCAAAATAAGATTTATTTGAGCACCTGTGGTACTGAACACATCGTCTTTAAAGCAGTGAATGTTAGGGTGTGATTTTTGAAATTGGAAAATATTTCCTTAAATTTGTTTATGACTAATGCAATTTAAAAAATCAATATATTTTGGTCAGTGTCACAAGCAAAGCTAGTCATGAACACCTTACAACCCTCAGAGAAGCAGCCTGACCAGCTATGCAGAAATCTTCACTCTAATTTCCAAGTAAAAGATTAGACAAGTCCGTTGCCAAAACACTAGATATAAAACAACTTGGTAGCTAGAAAGCAGTGCCAATTTCCTTATTGACATTCTTTTAGTCAGTCATACAAGTACACTTTTTCTCCTATGGAAATTGAAAAAAAAAAAAAAACAAGAAACTATTCATTTTGAGGAAGAAACTAGCCTTAAGTACTTTTCACTTTTCCCCTTAGGGTAAGCCTTTTGCCAAAAAGAGTTGGCTCCTCACTGACTGAAAACAAAACTGTGTCAGGGGTACTGACGAATCATGAACTAAAGGATTTTACTAAGGCATCTTGTCATTGGCCTAGTCCTTGGATTGCTTTATGGGAATGTTCTCGAACAGTGCTGGGGCCATAAGAATGAATCCAGGAGCTTTAACAGCATTTAATGGAGGCCTCTTTACGGTAGGTAAGTGGTATATTGCTTAGAAGGACCATGTTTGATCTGTTCAGATAATATTATCTGTAGTAGGGAAGATGATTAATCAACTACCAAAGACTGAATGAAAGGCCTGTGTTTTGGTTTCTTTGTGTGAGGGTCTCGCTGTGTAGGGAAGGCTGGCCTCAGACTCGCAGCAGTCTTCCTGCCTCAGGCTCCCAAGTGCTGGGATTACGGGCGTGTGCCGCCACACCCTGCAGGACCTGTTATTTTAAAAAATTGTGTCCTACTTTGCACAGATTTAAGTGATTCTTGCTTTATTTAACCTAATTCACAAGTTAGTTAACTATGCATCCTAAGATTTAAAACTAGCGATTCCTATGCAAATCATCTGCTTAACTGAACTACGAAAGTTTGTAATTGCTTACAACTTGAGGACACATTCCATGTTAAAATTTAAAATAAAGTTAATATACAACTGTTTGCCCTTGCAATTTTTTCCCTTTATTGTTAGAAGTCATTTCTACAAGATTTTTAAATGCATGGAATTTTAGAATGAATAAGTCAAGTCTGTTACTAAATATGTTGATAATTGGGGTCTCGACTAGATCTTTAGCTTTATTTTGCTAATGGACCTATGGTTTTATTTCTACCATAGAGAGCACTTGTTCATTCAGACAAAAATTCCCAGGATATTCACTGAAGACATTGAAACTAGAAAGTTCCTGATTTCTGTTTTTATGTTTATGGTACCTTTGCGATAGCTTTCTTTTGTGAAATGCCCAGTGAGTTTGCAGAACTCCTTTTCTAGGAAACACACTTGGAGCAGTGAGATCAGAAATCCTGAGATGCCCCCTCAGCCATTCTGGTTTCCCTCTGTTCTCTCCACCCTCTGTGAACACAAGAAGCTAAATCTCAGGAACAACCCACCCTGGGAGGGATACTGAGGCAGAGGAAAAGAACCCGCTCTAATCCTTGGAACCAGATGGAAATGCTTGCATTTCCAGGTGGGCCTGAGGCTGTAGGGGTGGGAAGCTGAGTTCCTAATTTCATAACAAGGTAGCTTTGGGGCTGAACTGGCCACGTTTTGTTGGTGGTGACCACAGGATGTATCACAGACTGTTAATAAGAACAAACCAGCAGCTAATGTTTGCCAAAGGATTGTTATGTTGATAACCTCTTAACGTTTATTTGCACTTTCTGCCTTACCCAGAACAACAGCCCTAGGAAACAGGCCCTGTTAGTCTCCAAGTTGGAGTTGAGAAACCTGGCTTTGTGAAGCAGTTATCATGACATGTTATGATCTTTCCTGTCATGGCCCCGTTTCGGTTCATGTCCTTCGTATTTATTCATGCTTCAAAATACAGGAAAAACAAACACAAAACACAGTATGATTGCAGTCCTTCTCTTGAGAGGCTTAGCCTGGCCTCACAAGGGGGCTGGATCTCAAAGAAGCAGGTTCATTCCCAGAGGAGTGAGCCTGCACCTCCTTTCTGGTTCTTGCCATGCGACCTCCCCCACGCGTCCGGCTCTCCCACGCTCTCCCACTATGCGATGTCACCTGGCCACCCTTAGCCCTCAGGTGAGAGTGTGTAGTCAGTCAGTCTGGGTGGCCTTTGAACCTTTCCTGGTGCCCTTACTGTCAATAGTACTTCAAAATCACTAAAAACTATGAATTTATGTTTTAACAATCAAAGGACTGAGAAGATGCTTCATCAGCTCCATCTCTGTCAGCTGGAAGTGTGGCTTCCCCCATTTCCGGTTCCCCTTTGCTCCCTCACGAGGCCATCACGCTGTAGTCTTCAATGAAGGAAATACTCTTGGGGCTCCTGCCTGCCGTAAAGGTCTGAGAATCATCTTGGAAAGAAAGCTTTCAGTTTACAAGAGTCAGACTCCCCATTTTAGAAAGAGTTTGACAAAATCAAGAGCACCCCAGCAAACATGAGTGTGTTGTGGGACAGAGTCCTCCAGAGGAGGAAATGCCAGTCTGAATGAAAGCTGACAGCAGAATCACAAGGCTTTCCCACAATGTTAGTGTCCTGAGCAGACACGACACCACACCCGTGACTGCGTTCATTATGAACCTCAGCATGCTCACTGTGGTGAGTAACATCTTACCATAAATCTGACTAACAGTGACCCACTTGGTGATGAGTCAGCCATCACCATTGGCGCTGATGTCATGTGTGGGGATATCAGCTGTTTTAAATGAACATGCCTGTAAAGTTCAGCTAGTTTAAGTGGAAAGTTCTAACAGAACCCCAAAGAATTAAGGGAATATATTGAACCTATAAACCTGGTATTTTATACCATGGAATACTATTCAGCACCAAAAAAGGATGAACTGCTTCAAGCAAGGCAGAAAAGCCAGACACATAATGCTGAGCAAAAGAAAGCAGATACAAAAGACTAATTCCATATATATCAAGTCTGTTTGGGTTTTTTCCTTTTCTTCCTTCTAATGTTTGACCAATTTTGCATGCTTATCTTTGGTAATCTGAACAACTAACTTGAAGACAACAATATGCAACATAGCAACGATTGTTGAATTCCTATCATTTTGTTTGGTGAAATTCTGTATCATTTCTCATGGTTTTTTGTTACTATTTTTTATTCTCTTTTGTAAATAAATAAAAGAAGAAAACCCTCACCTGACAGCTCCTTCGTGTGACCTTCCAGGCTCTAGATTACAAGAGATAGTTTTGTGTTCTTTGCTGACCACCCAGCCTCCGGTATTTTGTTGCAGATCCAGAGATGAAACTCAGGCAAGGCAGAAAGAATCTTGGGCGTGGCAGCCTCTACAGGACATGGCTTTCTTCACCCAGTGGTTCCATTCTACTTTCCAACCATGTAACATAGCACCCATTCATTGCCGTATTGTTTTCTTGCATTTCTTTCTTCTGCACACTTTTTCCATGATGAAGGATTATTTCAAATAGATTTGAGATGCATGAATAATCTAGACTCAACTGGGTTGTCTTTTTTGGTGGGGGGAGGATCTACAGGGTGTTCAGGGTCTCACTTCTAGATTAGGCTCATAGTGATCTTCTTGTTTACAGTCTCTGAAGAGCTGGGATTACAGGCGCGTGCCACCATGCCCAGTCTCATATATATCAAGTTTGGAATGGGCAAGAATAATTTGTTATAGGGCTGGGGATATAGCTCAGGGGCATAAGTGCCTGCCTGGCAAGCACAAGGTCCCAAATTCGATCCCCAGTACTGCAAAAACAAAAAGAAATAATAATAATAATAATAATAATAATAATAACTTGTTGTGATAAAAGTCAGAGTGATGTTGCCTCTTGGTTGGTACACTGTAATGATGCTGATAAGAAAAGGCATAAATGAACTTTACTAAGTAGTAAAAATATTCTATACACTTCCTGTGGGTGCTGGCCACATGGATGGTGGCCCGGTGGTCCCCTCCCCAGGTGATGCTCTTGTCCTTGGATAGTTTCCCTCCTCAGAGGCCCAGAGCTCATCTGCGTAGCCAACGGGGCATGACAGAAGCAGTGGCATGTCTCTGTGGAGGCCAGCACGTGAACAGACGGTGCTGCAGTGCTTTCTCCTGTGCCTCCGCCTGGGAAGAAGCTGCCTGCCCAGTCTGGAGCACCCTGTGGTAGGCACGGAGGAGAACCAACTCTGCCCGTCAGCCTGAGGTGAACTGCAAGCAGACCCTGCAGCCCGGCAGGCTTCTGGACAGCACCCTAATCTGACCTCGTGACCACAGCGTCATGAGAGACTGGGCCAGAAGCACTCACAACCACTCAAATCCCGGGCTGGCAAAGACTGCAATATAGTGATGATTTTTTTTTTTTTTAACCTATTGAGTTTGTTTGATGCTTTATTTTATTTGTTTTTGAGGTACCAGGGACCAAACCCAGGAGTGCACTCTCACGGAGTCACGCCCCAGCCCCAAACTGGATCTCCACAGGACTCCTCGCAGCCCCTCATTCTAGGCAGAACATTATTCTTATGAAGTTGCTAAAATTTTACAGGTAACATCAGGAAACATTATTTTACTCTGAAAACAAACTAGTGAAATACCTGCATCCCATATGTTAGATTAACGGGCTAATTTTTTTTAATAAAGAGCTGTTGTGAATCAATATTAGAAAGAAAACAGCGGCTACCTTGTGCCGGTGGGACCAACTACTGGTCCCAGCCCAGGTGCAGCGTGGGTGAGACCCTCTTCCACCCCCTTGGGACGCTCCCCATCACTCCACAGCACCTCTCCCACCCCGCCCACCTAGTAGGAATTTCTGCCGCATTCCGGGAACCCCCAGACTCAGTCCTCGCCCAGGTCCAGGGGGTGTGTGGGAAAGCTTCCTGCTACCCTGCGCCAGCGGGACCTACTACTGGTCCCAGCCCAGGCACAGCATGGGTGAGACCCGCTTCCACCCCCTTGGGATGCCCACCACCACTCCTCAGCACCTTACCCACCCTGCCCACTGAGTAGGAATTACTGCCACGTTCTGGGAACCCCCAGGCCCAGTCCTAGCCAAGACCAAGTGAGTGTGTGGAAGAGCTGCCTCTCCCACCTACTCTACCTTGTGCCCCCAAGGCTCAGCTCAGGCCTGGCATACATGCCTGGGGTGTAACCCTGCAGCTGCAATCCCTGGAGAAAGTGTAGAGGATAGAACCAACCCAGCTAGTCCAGGAGCAAAAAATCTTGCCAGAGGGACACAACAGGTTCACCCTCAAGGGCAGCAACAGGAAAGAGCTGAGCACAGCAGCCAGACCCAAGCCAGGCACAGCTGGATAAATCCAAACGTTGTAGATCTGCACCTGAACTTCAGTACATGCTAAGGTTATAACTACAACGAAGATGAACAACAAAGGTCAGAAGACAGTGCTACACAAAATGACGAGAAGGAACAAAATGCAACCTCAGAACCCAAGCCCACCCGTAACAAGAGCAGA